TGCCTGGCATCACAGCTCAGAGCAACCTCAAACTCTTAGGCTTAAGGGATTCTCTTGCCTTAGCCTCCCAAGTAGCTGGGACTACAGACACCTGCCACAACTCCCACCTATTTTTTTATTGTTGTTGCAGTTGTCATTGTTGTTTAGCTGGCCCGGGCTAGGTTTGAACCTACCAGCCTCCATGTAGGCGGCTGGCACCTTAACCACCATGCTCCAGGCACCGAGCCCCTTGTTTTATTTTAAAAAATCTAATACTCGGCTCGGCGCCTGTGGCTCAAGTGGCTAAGGCGCCAGCCACATACACCTAAGGTGGTGGGTTCGAATCCAGCCCGGGCCCGCCAAACAACAATGATAGCTGCAACCAAAAAATAGCCGGGCGTTGTGGCGGGTGCCTGTGGTCCCAGCTACTTGGGAGGCTGAGGCAGGAGACTCGCTTGAGCCCAGGAGTTGGAGGTTGCTGTGAGCAGTGATGCCATGGCACTCTACCCAGGGGCTCAGCTTGAGGCTCTGTCTCCAAAAAAAAAAAAAAAAAAATCTAATACTCTTCTTGGTGGACTTATCAGTTAATTGATAAAGAATAGTTAAAAATAAAAAGAGAGAAACGCTAAAGAATATGAATTAACAAAGCTTGATATCTCTACTAATTTTTCCCTAGCCTTTTGATCAGTGATAAACTAGATTAGAACAATGAATGGATTGTTACACTTTACATTTTGTACTTTAGTCTGGAAATGGTGGCATTAAAAACTAAAAGTCATACTGCCATTTGAGCAATATTCTTAGATCGTAGTAGAAATGTTTTCTTTAAATAAAACTTTTATAGTTTTCAAATGACTTTACTTGATATGATTGCTCTATTTGTTTAGTTTTTCTAGAGAAAAATTATGAAACTTCACTCAGGCTTTAGAGTCGGCCCTTGATTTGGTTTCCTCTGATGTTTGGAGGCCCCTTCTGAGGTATTAATGCTGTAGGCAAGAGGGGGCCCCCCTATTCTTCTAGAGTAGATGTGAAAACTGGAGACTAAGTTAAACATTTTTTTGTGAACTGTGCATTACACTTTGATGTTTACAGGTCACATTTCACTTATTTCTCTGGCTTTTCACATTTTCTTCTACCTGTTTCTTCTTCCTCTTTGTCCTGTATTTCTTCCTCCTGGTAGGTTTCCACTCTGTGCGATATGTGTTTCCCTGACCCACTAGGTTTCTCAGCCTCACTTGGGGTCAGTCCTTACCTGCCAGCCTTGGAGAGCCGTCTCTTTAAGAAGGGCCAGGTTGGTTTGTGAGGACAGAGGTCGGGGTCCTCCGATGCTGTGCTGAGGAGATACCGCCTGTAGTACTGTCCTCTGGCTGCATCGTCATTCTGACTTCTTTACCGCGTGCAGTATTTTGATTTTGACCCCACATTCTGTTCCACAGAGACCACTTCAGGCATCTGTCCTTGGATTTGCTTTTATCTCACAAACTGAGTTTTAGTGTCTTGCTCATGCCTGAACTCTTCTTTCCCTTGCCCTGATTCTCAGCTTTGTAGATCCAGCTCATCAGCAAGATGTCTTAGCGCCTTCCTCAAAATAGAGACGTCTGCAGAATATTTCATACTATAATGCTTACTGGTGATGTTCATATAAAAAAAAAAAAAAAAAACTTAGCGAAAGGAGGTATGAAAAAGGCTCAAGTTGCGCTCTGTGTCCAAGTGCTAGAACATGAGAATCACTTGTGACCATTTGAAGTCAGCACGCCCGTGTGCATCTCAGATGTTGCTAACCCTAAAAGAGGCTTGAAGGGTCCGTCTCACGTTACTGCACAGAAAGCATCTTGTAGCAAGTCATGTTGTTTGGTGGCTAGTAGGTGCTATTTGGGGTGTTGTACATTTATTTTATATGATTGTTTGTTATATATTGGCATTTTCTTGAGTTTTAAAACTAGCTACTTTTATTCAAGAAATCAGCTGGGCTCAGTGGGGGTGGAGCGTAATTGACATATAATGCATTATTGTAAAACACTAGGGAACTGAGTCCTCTTGAGCATTTTCATGCTGACCATCTGATGTTCAGAAACAGTTTATGGCACTTACAGGGGAAATGCTTCTATCTCCAAACCTGACCACCCTTCACCACCACTGCTATTACTACCCTGGTCCAAGGACTGCTCATCTATTCCCTGGATTCCTGGACTAAGCCCCTTCTTTCTACACCTGCCCTCCAGTCTGTTCCCTGCTCAGCATGCCGATGACCCTGGTAAACATTTAAGGCTTTACTGTGTGCTTAGGACAGCGCAGCAGCTGCTCAGCTTACTCAGAGAGGAAGCCGAGCTTCCAGAACTTCTCTTCCTCTCTTACCCTTTTCTTATGTCTCCATAATATAGATCATAATCTGAAATTTTACATTTTTATTAGTTGTTGGATTTTTGAGTAATGTTTCTGGTTTTCTGTCTTCATTTTCAAAGCATATATGTTTTTTATATTTCTCTTAAAGAAAGCAAGATCAAATTGCAAGTGATTTTTTTTTCTCCTGTAAATGGCCCTCATGAGACAGACATCCCTATTTTAAGAGGATTTATTTCTTCATCTTTGAAATGAAGATAATGTCTTCCATTAATACTCATGCAAAAGCTTTGTTTTTCTTGGATTTCTTATTGGCTGATTTTTTTGGTCCCCTATATTTCTGTTACTTGGTATTCTCTCTTCTTCTTTACCTCATCTGTGTCTGTCTGTGAATAGCCTTTTCTAAATCCAAAAAAGTAATAAAGGGTTATTTCTGGCCAAAGGGCTGGGGGACCTCTATTGTCTTTTCTTTCTTTTTTTTTTTTATCATACCTTTAAATATGTGCAGAAACTTTCACTCACCTCACATATGCTGCGACATGATTGATAAAGGTAAGGGTAGATGATTAGGTGATTTATTTGTAGATTTGTAAGCAAATTTCAAATAGAAAGTCTTCCTAAAAATATAAAGGAAAAAGTAAAAGTGAATTATTTTTGTTTAAGGAAGAGCCCTCCCTCCGTGGGGGGGGGGGAGATTGTTGCATGGTTAATCTAAATTTAACTTTTTTATGGAATCTAAAATACTCAGTAAATCTCCTTTCCCACATTCTATGGTTTGTATGTCAGTTGTCCTCAATAGTTTTTTTTTTTTTTTTACATATGTGACTATCATCCAACTAAATATTTTTATTAACGTCTCTTATAAGTATTTCTTCATAGCACGTTTCCCAAACATAGAACCTCTGTAAGTTGACCACCCAAGGGACTGTAACAAACTGGTCATCGTACAGAGGTGGTTGACGTAAGGAACTTGTGCAAGGACAGTCTATGGAAATGAGGTCAGCCTAAGGAGGTGGGCAATGTAGGGAGGCGGTCAGCTGTGATGGTTCTACTGTATATTAGTTTGTATGTGCATAATGGTACACATTTACTTTGCAAGGAAGATATTTAAATGTATTGCTTCTGCTTTATGTAATAGAACAAGAAATTTATATACTCTGAGTAAAATATTGGATTCATTATTTTGTTTTTACATAGAAGAAACTTGCATACCATGTAGTTGAATTTTTGTATTTCTGTGAATTAATTTTCTCTTCAGGTAACTTATGTCATCATTTAAAGCTTAAATTTATGTTTGAAGTCTTCTCCAACATTCTTATTCATAGATATTAATATATTGGTATTATTGATGTTCGCCAATAATTATTTGCAAGTTTATTTCAATACAACTTAAAAATCGGTGTGTGAAGCATGAGAGAAGATGAGCTCAGAGTGTTAGCATTACTTGGAAATCTTGGATACTTTCTTCATTTTTAAGTGTGTTATTCGTTTTAAATTGATATAGTTTTCATTTTTGCTGTAAAAATCCAAGAAAAGTAGACGGGTCAAATGGATTCTGTGAGTGGTTGGCATTTCATAAGATCTAATAAAAGGTGACATCAAATCAAAAATATAATCTGTCAGACAATCAGAGAAGAAGAATCTTTTAAGCACATTCTTGTCGGTATTGTTTGATGCTCATTCTTTACCTGTAATCTTTCTGTGTATCTGTCAAAAGATGCAAAGCTATATTCAATAATGAGGACGGCAGGGATTTGAGACTTGCGTTCCTTTCTTTCTATGACAGGAAGGTCAGCCTTTCGAAAAAGGATGGAAATTAACATTTCTCCAGAATTATGTTTCCCTTCATTTGCGGTTATCTCTTAATTCCAGCCTTTTACTGTGTTTGATAAATAGGCCAAATATATTTTTTATTTATAATATTTGGGGATATGGGAAGGTGAAACTTTACGAATTTCAACTGGCATTGCACTCTGCTGATAAGGATGGGAGTCTGCACCGCTCTAAAGAGATTACATGAAGTAGAATTGGAAAGCAAATTGTATTTACAAAAGATAGGATGATGTTCTAATAGGTTCAGAATAGACTATTCACTCTTATATTCTGCTGAGCTTTACTAGAAATAACTTCATTTCAAAAAGGACAAATCTGATTGAAAGCAAAAGCATTCCCTCTTCACAGATACTCATCCAAAGGGTTTACATTAAATTCTCCTGATGGGTACACAGCAGCATTTTATGCTGTATCTGTATAAACTAGTAATGTGGAAAATAAAAATCTAAGTAGTGTACTTGATTGCTTCATGTACCAACCATTAGATTGCTAGATTTATATCTACAGTTTTGGGAGAGATGTTGCAATATGATGTTCTGACAATAACTGTCCAAGTCATAATACCGGAATCTATTTTCTATCTTGTTGTCGAGGCAGAGTTATTAAAATGCATAGTTGGTAGGTCAGAAAGATCAGTTACTATCTCTTGTCGTCTGTGGTTTAATGCTGACCTCAACCGCTACCGTATAATGTCAGAATTATCACACGTCTGGGCTGCACTGCACGCGGCATGATTTATTGCATTTCCTGTCCAGAATGAGGATTACGAAAAGGCCAACCACGGTGAGATACGGTGGCTTGGAAGAAACTTGATTTCTCATTTTTCTCTTTTTCCTCATTTATTTCAGATTTTGGATTTAGTAAAGGGTTCACATTACCAGGTAGCCTGTCAGAAATACTTCGAGATGACACATAACGTAAGTAAATTTTTTTTACTTTACAGCCTAATTCTTTGTCTTCTGTTACTTTCTATCTACCAGGGTTTCAGTTGCAGCAGTGGAAACCATTCTAGCTATTTTTAGCAGAAAGGGATTTATTACACAGTACTAAATAACTTATAAAAGCTATAGAAAGGCCAGAGAGCTGAGCATGGGTGCTGAAGAAGAAGTAGAAGAAGCTACGTCATGAGGAAAATCTCACCTTACTGTAGTTGCCACCTGCCACTCCGGATCTGGGATGAGACCAAGGCTCAGTCAACTTTTTCTATAAAGAGCCAGAGTGTAAAAATTTAGGCTTTCTGGTCCATATGGTCTCTGTCACAGTATCCAACTTTGCCCTTATAGTGAAAAAGCAGCCACAGAAAAGATGCAAATGAATAGGCATGACCCTGACCCAGTAGATTATTTATAAAAATCTGTAGGGGCCGGATTTGACCACAGGCTTTAATGCACCAATCCCTGGACTAAATCTAGAACCTTTTCCACAGCTAAGCAGAAGAACCAAAGGATTTTTGTCGTCTTCCATGCAAAAAATCTGAACCCTCTACTTGTGGCTACCCTCCTCATGTTGTTCTAATCTACTTTCCAAGTCTCATATTTTATCTGCCTGGCAGAACCTAAACTGCATGTGGAGAGAGTCAGGGAAATGTATTTGACTATTATTTTGCCAGCCTCCTAGGTCTGCTAGGTTATTAGAGGGAGTGCTAACTGGCCTAGTCTATCTCAGAGTAGGTTCTAAAATGCGTAAAGCAAGGGTCACAAACTCTGAGGCCTACAGAGAGCAGACAAATGATACAAAGAAGGTGAAGCTGGCTGAGCTGACTGTCAGATAGTGAGGTACAACTGTGGCACACTGGAGAGATTGTGCTGTTAGGTTGGGCGCAGTGGCTCACACCTATAATCTTAGCACACTGGGAGGACACAGCAGGTAGATTGCTTGAGCTCAGGAGTTTGAGACCAGTATGAGCAAGAATGAGGTCCAGTCTCTACTAAAAATAGAAAAATTAACCAGGCATGGTGGCACAGGCCTATAGTGTCAGCTACTTGGGAGGCTGAGGCAAGAAGATGGGTTGAGCCCAGGAGTTTGAGGTTGCTGTGAGCTATGACACACTGGCACTCTACCAAGGGGGACAGAGTGAATCTCTGTCTCATAAGAAAAAGTTTATTGTGTTAAAGGCATTCCTGTTGACAAATGTTACGACTTTATGCAGGCCAACAGAACACGTCTACAGGTCAAATTCAGCCCATTGGCCCCCAATTTGCAGCCGCTGATTGCTGAGTATAGATTCCTAACCTTGGGCAAACATCCACAAAGGGAGTGTGGGGTCCAGCACCTTTTGAAACATTTTGTCTCTGAGGGCCCATGTGTGCTGTTCTAGCATCTGTGGCATTTATCAGGGATCTATGACCCTCCAATAAAAGATGTGGCATGTGTTGAAGTCGTCATCATTTACTATGTTAAGTTTTACAGTTATTTTTATGTTTCTACTTAGTTGTCACAAAAAGTTTTTTTATTCTGGTTATATAACTGCAAAATGTCTTGATAAAATATATCACAGGAAAAATATATTCTATAATATACCAATAATAATTAAAATAATAATAGCAAAACATATCAATATCAATAGAACCCTGAACACATGCTAGACACAACATTCACTTCTTTGAACGTATTAGCTCTTTTAATGCAACTACAGCAAGGTACTCTATATGTCCCTGTAGGCTGACTAGGACTTAGAGAAGCTGAGCGGTATGTGTAAGGTCATGTTGCTAAGAGGGGATGGAACTTGGATTTGAACCCAAAGGTCTAACTCATCTGAAAGTTTGTGCTGTTCTATGGTATTTGAGAGTGGATTTGTACTGATGACTGTGGAAGTGTTTAGATTCCTCCTGTTTAGAGTCATAGAATAATAAACATGGAGGGACTTTCGATCCATGTCATCTGATCCAACCTTCATCATTAAAACATGGAGGCCTGTCTGTTCCAAGCTAGTTAATGGACAGTCTGGACCCAGATTCCCGGTCTGCTGTGGGTCCAGTTCTCCTAAGTTCCTAACTTTTAAAACTATTGCTCTTTTTAAAACGTAGTTGGGTTGGGTGGTGCCTGTGGCTCAAAAGAGTAGGGCACCCCATATATCGGAGGTGGCGGGTTCAAACCCAGTCCTGGCCAAAAACTGCAAAAAAACAAAACAAAACAAAACATAGCTTGTGTTTACAAATTTAAAGGACTAAACATCAAGGAAATAGTAAGGCACTGTGAAATCTCATGGGAACCTCACCAGACAAGGTGCATATTTGGCATTTTCAGCATCTGTTCTGTGGGACTCACCCCTCAGAGGCTGCATTCCTTAATTCTCTGGCTCAGCTTGGGAGTTTTAATTTCTTATATGTTCTTAATTATTTGAAGCCCTTTGAGCTAAGCGGCCTCAGAACTTTCACAATTGAGTTCTATGATCCAACCTCTTTTAAAAAATAACAGATAAAAATGAGAATTAAACATTGAGTTTGTGACATAATCACTAAAAAGGAATTTTTTCTCCTCAAATCTGCTTGTGTAATCTCTCCTGTTGATTATTTCCGTAAGAATGTTGCTAGTATGGTTAATTTTTAAAATTTGCCCTGGATTAATGAGGAAATTTAAAAAGTGTATCTCAATCCTCTCACATACAGAAATAATCTAACTTAAACCACCTATAAATCAATGAAGGAAAAGGCTGTTTGTATTCAATAGCTGTCTTGTTACAGGTTTTTTGAAGGTATCTTCCTTCATTTATTATTTTTTCTAATTTAAAAATAGAATCTATTTTTGTCAGGTTTCTGCCTTGCTGCCCCCCCCCCCCCAAATAAAACCTTATGTTTATGTTCCTGAGGCCTTTGTGATCAAACCCACTTAAATGCAAGTTTTGAAAATGAACCAGTTAATTGGTACCATTTGCAGCAGCTCTATGATAGTTCCATATGGCTGTTTTGGTAATACCAGCTGCCTCATTATAAGCTGTCATTGCAAAACCTCTTGATTAAAACCCAAATATCCCATAGGTAAAACAATATTGCTTTCATTCCTTCAAAGTCTACATTTGCAGTGGCAGAAATATGAGACCCATGTTTGTGTGAAGGTCATTGTGTGCAAAATGTGCTGATCCCAAGCAAATGTCTGAGGGAGATTCATTTAGTATGTGTCAAAAGCTGGCCTATAAAACCTGTTTCCTCAGTATTGTTAGATCAGTGTTTAAAATAATTTTATACTGTAGTGTATTCTTTACTTTCTTCGTGCTTCGTGTATAAATGAAGACCCTAATCCTTGGGTAGGTTAATCTCTGAATTTTAATTGAAAATAATGTTTTCAGAAATAAACCTCTTTGGACACAAGAGTAATAATTGTGGGTACTTATTTTTTAAATAGCTGAGTATAATTTTCCCCCAATTTATAAATTTTTACAGAAATCCTGTTATAACCTATCACACATTTTCATGTATCTTAAATGGGCTGTATGAAATACAGCTAAGCCTTTTTACAATATCTCAGGGTCACCATTATGGGTATCAATTAGAATGCTGGGCTAGCAGCCACCTCCTCTCACTTGGATCCCTGCAGTAGCTTCCTAACTCATCTCCCGGCATCTACACATGTCCCATTCCAATCCTAACTCCTCCACACAGCTGCTAGAGTGACCTTTAAAATAGAGGAATCTGATCATTTCAATAACCTTCTTTTTACAAACCTTAAATGGCTTCCTGTTTCTCTCAAGATGAAATCCGAAATTTACACTACAGCCTGTTAAGGCCTCCAGCCACCTGCCTTCCCCTGGACTCCAGCTGCACTAATCCCGTTTCAGACTCTTCACAGTCCTTTGGATCTTTCAGGCTGATATCTCAGAATGAAAATGCATCACAGAATTTGCCTCTCCCAATACCTAACAAAATGTACGAAACATCATCAAAAATCATCAGCCATGAAACCATCACTAACAGCAACCAAACGAGAAGAGGGGCGCAGAAAGAAGCAGAAGACTTATAATGGACGAAAGTCACAAAAATACTCAACTTTCCAAATGAGAGTCAGGGAAACAGCTGCTGTCTCTTGAGCAGAAATCAGTGAAATGGTAGCTTTAGATGTAGAAACCTCACTTTCTCTTTTTCCTAATTTGGTTTTAAAGGTCTGTTTTTGTAGTGTTTAGTTTATGTTCTCTTTTCTCCAAAAACTCCTGTGTTTTTTTCCTTGAGGGAGATAAAAAGGAATTTAATGGCAACTATATACACTTTCTTCAAAAATATCAGTGAAAGAAACTCAAAAGACAAAGAACCCATCCTTAAAGACAACACAATTTAGTTGAAAGAAGGAAACTGCTCATAATTTCATCTTTCTGTCCGGCAACTTAATAGATCACAACGAGCTTCACAGAGTAGTTAAGAAGGACAGTTGCAGGCCTAAGAGGAAAGTTGAGAAACATAACATCACATGGAGCCGCGGGACAAGCCCTCATCCCAAAGCCCTTACCTTGTTTTAGTTAGTTAATAAAAACATATTAACTAAAATGAGCATTCATAAAAATATGTATGTTCCTTCAATATTATGTTTTCGAGTTAAGGCATCTGAATGCCATTCATTTGCTAATCTTTTGATGTAAAGGCCGGGTCTTTTGAGTATGGCTTAGTGATTGGAACCCTAGCTCATCTTTCTTTCACAGACCATACCCATAATACGCCATTAGCAGTTTCCAGTTTGGGTTTCTTTAAAGTGGAAAAGGAACTTAGTAGTACATAGGAAGCAATGTGATCTTGTCTCCTATTCTTTTGGGAATTCAACTTTTTAAAAAAGTGACTTCTCTTTCTTGAGTCTTTCTACAACATTTAATTTAGATGTCATAGAACCAGCAACTCTTTCTGTTAACATTTTTCTTTCTTTGGTTTTCCCATAGCAACCCCACTATAGAGCACTATTATCTCCATATCATAGAGAAAACTGACACTTTAAAAGATTACCATATTTCCTTTTGTCCCCACTGAAGTCCCATAATTCAGAGTCGTCTTCTGTGATAGAGGTATTGAAAATGTTAACAACTTGAAGCAAGGTGTAGAAGATCCCCAGTATGTTAACACAGCACCAAAGTATTAGATTCTTTTTGCATGAAATGATACGACTATATTTTTTTATAATCTTTACAGCCAAGTTTAGCTCTAGAAATAATTCTAACGGAGATATCATTGTCAGTTTATTTTGCTTTGCATAAAACCTCTTAAAACAATTTTCAGAACAACTAAATAATCTAGCATAAAGATTTGAATTTTAATCGAGACAAAATCAGTTACTAGTTTTAGGACGTTGTGTAAACCACGTATTCTCTTTAGGCCTCAGTTTCCTAATCCACATGGAGGAGGAGGCTCAATTTAATGGATCTCAGGGGCCTTCTAATCTCTATTTTTTTTTTTCTATTTAGAAAATATAAAGCCTTCTGACTGAAATGTGTTAGGGAATAAATTTACTTTTTGTGAAACACTTCACAACCTGCGAAGTTTATATTGGATCTCCCAGTTTTTAATGAGTTGGTTGAAAATTAAATGCAATGGAACCTCCATAGCTGACCACCTCCTTAAATTGGCCTAATTTTCATAGACTGGACATGCACCATACATATATGTCAGTCTCATAGGCCTACTTCCTTATGTTGACCATCTCTGTATGTTGACTAGTTTGTTATAGTCCCTTGGGTGGTCAGATTACAAAGGTTCTACTATACGATAAAGATGTTCACAAAATATTCCTTTTTTTTTAAATTGAAACAGGGTCTCACTTTGTCACCCTTGGTAGAGTGCGACGGCATCATAGTTCACAGCAACCTCAAACTCTTGGGTTCTAGTGATTCTCCGGCCTCAGCCTCCCAAGTAGCTGCAACTACAGGCATCCGCCACAACACCCAGCTATTATCTTTGTTTGTTTAGCAAGCCCGGGGCTGGGTTCGAACCTACCAGCCCGGTGCATGTGGCTGGCATCCTAACCACTTAGCTATGGCTGAACCAAATGACTCCATTGTTAATAAAAATTATAGATATATTCTAAAACATTCAGGAAACATTTTGAAATTAAGCAACCAAGTTTTTAAAATAAAGAGAAACATTTGTTCCTAGTGATCTATATCTCTTAAAATCAGTCTGTTATATACTGAAATTACTACGTCTAAAACTATTGTCCCAACATATATTAACTTACTAAAGAGAATCGGGGAACCCTGGGGTACTTAAAAATTACCAGAGGAGATCTCATTTCTGCTTATTGGTCCACCCATCTGGAGGGTTTATTCTGGACCATATTACAATTCCTTTTCCCCTCTGCCACTTCATTTTTATCCACCAGAAGATTATGTCTGCATCACCCTAATCACACCACCTCCCTTCTTAAGCATGTTTAGTGAATCCCTGCTGCCGAGAGAATTTAGTCTAGGCTACTTACCTGGTTTTCAAGGCTCTCAGAGGCCTGGCCCTGCCTGCCTTTCCAGCCTCACTCCCTGTTATTCTCTTTCTTGAGCCTTTCCACCAGGCTGTGTGCACCACGTGCTTTCCTGGGACATTTCCTTTTGCCTTGCTCACCTGGTCCTGCTGTCTTCACTGCCCTTTCCCCCAGTGTCCCAGCTTTCACTCTCTCCAGCTTTCCAGACCCAACTCAATAACACTTCCCCTACAAAGCCTTCCTTCATCCTCCCAGCTGGAATTTCTCTCTACTGTGGAGTCTAATAGGCCTTTATCTGTGACCCTTGTCACTTCTCCTTTCTTTGTATAAGTTTTTAAGTACATGACTTACTGGGCTAGAAATTTCTTGAGTTAGACAAATGCATTGTTAGATTCTGAAAAACTACTAGCTTAGAACCTGGCTATCCACTGGCTATTTCTGGGCCCAACTCACCAAATACGTAAGGTGCCTGTGGTGTACAAATCACTTCAGTACAAAAAGTAAAATGTAAAAAGATTGGTAAATATAAAGCAGAGGAACAAAAAAGTGTCGTGGTTTCTTAGTTTCCAAAAATATATAAAGTTGAAAATACCACCCAGAAAACCACCACAAAGTAAGTAACTTAAGCAAAATGCTATTTTTATTGTCAGCTCCATGTGTGGAAGGCAGAGATTTGAAAGCAAAACCTCAGATAAAGGGAGATTAGTGTAACGCATGATTTTAAATAGTACTCAAAAGTTTTGTCGGTGGTGCCCGTAGGTCAGTCGGTAGGGTGCGGGTCACATTCACCTGAGGCTGATGGGTGTGAACCCGGCCTGGGCCAGCTAAAACAACAACGACAACTGGAACAACAAAAATAGCTGAGCATTCTGGCAGGCACCTGTAGGCCCAGTTGTTTGGGAGGCTGCAGCAAGAGAATCACTTAAGCCCACGAATTTGAGGTTGCTGTGAGCTGAGCTGTGATGTCACTGCACTCTACAGAGGACGACACCTTAAGACTGTCTCCAAAAAAAAAAAGTTTTGTATTAGTATTTGAGCAAAGAAATAGCATAATACTACAAACTGAAGCATGTTCGTATGAAGTGAAAATTTAAACAAAAAAAATTTCTATAAAAGGAATGACCAGTGAAAACCCAAGATTAGAATGAAGAAATTACGTTCAATTAGGTTGCTTTTTCAGAGTACTATATGAGATAACATGTGCCAGCCTACAAATACAAATGATATCAGGAATGAGTATCAAAGTGATTAATGAGATTGCTTTTCATTTTCTCTCCCCAGGCTGGGCATGGTGGCTCATGCCTGTAATCCTAGCACTTTGGGAGGCTGAGGCAGATAGATTGCTTGAGTGCAGGAGTTCAAGATGAGCCTGAGCAAGAATGAGACCCCTGTCTCTACTAAAAATAGAAAAAAATAAATATATTTATTGGCCTCTAGTATACTAGGTACAGTAGTGATCATAGAGGTCCTTAACCTGGGCATTACTGACATATGATGTAGCCCTCACCTGGGTTTGTTTCCCAAACCCATTATTTTCCAATTTTTTATTTTGTGTTAATCACCAGCCAGAATTGGTAATAGTTTGGATATTGCCAGAATTGAAGGCATGGTGTGGATGGCAGTTAGGGTTCTGTGGAGGTGAGAGAAGTGTCCAGTTTGCCCCAAGAGTGGATGGTGATACCAGCCTCTGAGAGGGCAGGGGAGGTGGAAAGGGTAATTTTCACGTTGGCCTTTCAGGCATCCTGGATGTTGAATGGGCCCTGATAATGGAACTAGAGCCACATGAGAACTGGAACTAGGTGTGGAGGCTTCAGCTGAAAAGATAGATGAAGAGTCGTTAATGTCCAGGTACTAGTTGAAGCCCCTTTGAATGAAACAGTGCAAGTAGTGGATGGAGTATTACAGACCAGAATAGCTAAGTAAGTTTTAAGTGAGGGCTGGGACAGATTGTGAAAATCCTGCATGTATAGCTTTGCTGTGTGTTAATGAGATCCAAATTTGCTTCTTTGTACAGGTGGATGATTGTGGCTTTTCTTTGAATCATCCTAATCAGTTCTTTTGTGAGAGTCAACGTATTCTAAATGGAGGCAAAGACATCAAGAAGGAAGCTGCCCAACCGGAAACTCTTCAGCAAAAGCCAAGCATCCAGAAAGCCAAGGATGCATCGTCTGCTCTGGCCTCTTTAAATTCCTCCCTGGAAATGGATGTGGATGTGGATATGGAGGGACTGGAAGATTACTTTAGTGAATGATTCTTGGGCAGTTTAGGAACCCCTTTCCTCTGTAGCTTTCATTTCTTCTTTCTAACGTTCTGCCTTGTTCTCTTTTAACTTTATTTTTTCCCTTCATCCCACCCCAGTCCGTTGACACGTGTACACACTCATTAAGAAGGCAGGTAAAAAACACAGACCCCTACTATGTTTTGCTTAGACAAAAGGGAAGAAGAAGAGTTTCTGTGAAAATCTATCACTTGGGGAGTATCATTTAAATTCTGTTCTAGGAGATAAAAACATCTTTCTGGACTGATTAAAGTCCACAAATACAGCTAAAAACAACTTTTAATTTAAACCTTATCACTTTTCCAGTTTGACACAATCATTTGACCTTTTTTGTTAATAAATATGAAAACGTACATCACTGTGTGTGTAATTGAGAGAATCTTACTGTGGCTTAAGATCGGACCTTACCTTCGTTTTTAAGTGGCACTTTGGAACATTCAGCACACTGCTCATCACCCTGGGGGATTTTAAACTTTCCTTTTTTGTTGTTGTTGTCTAGCTGACCTATTTTTTGTTTACTCTTCCCCATCAACTTTGGCCCCTTTGAGTAGCAGCAAACTCTACTGAAATGAATTGTGATTTAGGAATTAAACAGAATGAGTATGGCCAGTTGTACTTATTACAGGAGTATTTTTTAATGTAAAATAATGGCACTTTTTATCTGTTGCCATTTTTCATTCATTCTAGGGGCAGGTTCATGAAGAATAGACAATTTCTGAAGCATAAAGGCAGTACGTGGAGTATTGATAGTGTTTGTCCCACCCTCCAACTTCCATGTCTTATTACTTCTGTGGTTGCTGGGAATTACCAAATAGGCATGGTAAATTCATTAACATCAGTAATGAATGTTCTGATATTCATAGTATGCCCTCTTTTAAGTGCTAGCAGCAGAATTCAATAGAATTCAGTAAATGTTGTGGGTATTATAGACATAAGAGATCAGTGCCCTGCGCTCTCTGCCTGCCTTTGGCGAGGAGGTAAGGTGGGGTGGATGCTGCCTGGTGCTTTATGCCTTACAGGGCAGTGGCACTGTGGACACCTTTTCTGATCTCCTCACCAAGCTCTGTACTCACCCAGGGTTTGGGGGGTCCCAGGAGACACAGTCTGAAATGTAACTCTTCTCACCTGTTACCTTGGAATATGTGGAAAATAGCAGTCTATTCCTTCCCTCTTTTCCTGATAAAAGGGGGTACTTTCCCCTTCTCCTTTTGAATCACACACACGACAATTGATGAGAAGACATTGTATTTAGAAAACTGGATAAACTGCATCAATATGAAAGGTTTTATACAGGATCAGATCATCAGAACCTAAAAATGTCAGCTAATCGGGTTTTTATTTTAGGCTTCTGAGTCAAAGATTTCTTGGAATATTTAGTAACATATAATTAAATGAGATACCATCTGAACTTGGAGTTGTCTGGGTGAATTATTATCACCTAGTTTGGAAAATAGTATTATTCCACTACAAATTACCCCTATAAATCTCTCCCTTCCAAAACCATCTGCTGCTCCCTTCATCATTTGTAGTTCTCAACAGGAATCCAGTGATTGCCTACCACTTTATCCATGAACTGCAAACCGCGAGTCCTTTACTTTAAAAAAAAAAAAAAAATTAAGAATGAGTGCTGTATGGAGCTGTTTTAACCACAGAATTAAATCAGCTTTAGAAAGCCAAGTATAGAAATGCAGGTCTCAATTGTATTAAAAGAAGGGAAATATTAGCAGCACACTCTCTGCTGTAGTTTAGTGAGAAGTCTCAGGACAGGGTGTTTCATATCTGGCAACATTTTGCAAAGCTGTCTGTTTCTCCTGCCTCATGTTCTCCTTTTATGAAGCCTGTGCTCCCACCAGCTAAAAGGACAGAGCTATTAACAGCATGGTAGATGTGCCTTAGTGAACTATTTATTTTATACTGGCAGCCCCGAGAATTTGTGTTATCCTGTTGAATGTTTTATAAGTGTCTAGTCAAACTCCAAAATAACACTAGTTTAAATGTTAGCTGTATTACAGGTTCAATTCCCTCATAATAAGGTTTGATCTCCTGTCATGTATTATACAGAAGAATATATAAACACTGTGAAATCTATAGATTAGAGGATGGGGGTAGAGGATTATAAAAGGAGGTAGAAATTAATGCTTTCTTGGTGCTTTTTGGAGTTAGAAAAAGCAATTTATGTTTCATGCTTCACAGGTCTTGACAATTTTGATTTGCTTTCTTTGAGAGGAAGACTTGTTTGAATTGGATGATGTAGGAAGAACCCGAAGGAAAAATCAAAAGCCAACAGCCTCTTTTCAAAACAGTAGCCAGTGAAAAAAGAATGTGAGTTTTCCAGGGCTTTTTTAACTTTTAGTCTTTTATTCCTCTTCAAGGAAGAGAGGCTGTGTGATTATCAAAGACAAAAGAAGAAACGGCAGAAGAAAGAAGTGAGGTTGGACATTTGTAGCTGGTTGAAGCAATGACATTGTTAGGAGAGATTCTGTCACACTTGTTATGTTTCTCCATGATGTCTTTCCCTCCACCCATACAGTACAAAATTCTTAATTGCTGTCTGTGTTAAAGAACACTAGGAAGGTTTTAAGTAAACTTTTTAGGACTGCTTATAATATTATGGAGTCATTAAATAGTTGTAGATTTTGAATGAGCTGGGAATGGAATAAAACAATGGGAAGGATCTTCAATTCACATAGAATTTTAATAAGCTGAGGGATTTCTTCTCTCTCTAAAAGCAGACAGGGTGTTTTGCTTGTTACACTTTGCTGTCTTCCTGATACTCAGGATCTTTGCGAGCAAACTTCCGTAATTCTTTGCAAAGAAGAAACGAAAACTTCTGGGATTTAAGCTTGAAAGGCGAAATGAGCCAACTCTTAAAGTTCTGGTTCGGTTAGAGTCTACTGTTTGCAAATTTAATCAAGGTCTTCCACAGGCATCAGCTTGACATTAAATTTAAGTGCCCATTAAAGGGAGAGTTTGACAGCAGTTTTGAATGTGAAGCTCAGTCTGAGGACATCTTTACAGCTGGAAGGGAAAAAAAAAAAGCTGAGAAGCCTCAAACCACTGTGGTAATTAGATCCATTTGTTAACTTCTTTTCTAACGTTGGCTAAGGGAGGGGGAGAAAAGGTTGCCAGGCTGGAATCAGGAAGGCAGTCCAGAGTTCCCTACAGAAACTGGACGTGCACAAGGTCCTGCGTTGCACAGCAAAATGGTCAGTATTCTCTCTGACAAATGTGTAAGATGGGGAAATTATTTCAAGTGCTATATTCAGTTCTCTCCCTTTTAACACAGAACCAGTGGGGGAAGTAGCATTTGTGAGTGGGAGTGCCGGCTTGGTTGGAGGCACCTTGGAAGACATACATTATTTGGGAGGCGACCTCTTGTGGTACGTGGTTGGCCTGAAGAGTTGGTTTCTCCCAAGAGTATCAAACTTACATCAGGTAATCACTTATTTACCCAAAGCATCTGGCCTTCTGTTCAATACCAAGTTCCTTTGTGACAGATAGCTATTGCCCTAGTCTAAGGCCTCTCACCATAATTGGCATGTAGGCAATTAGCTTTATGACTCTGTGGAAATCACGACACTTGTAGGAAATTATCTTCTGACTTCCCCTGACTTTCCTGCCAAAAATGATACTGTTTCCTGTTATTGGATTTGCTTTCTACCCTGTAAGCTCATTTTGTCTGTTGCTTCATATTTTATTTTTTTCAAGAATTATCACAGTAGAAGCTTATCAAAGGCTAAAGAATATATATATGTATATTTAAATTTCCAGTCTGTCCCTTGAGGCTTCAGTGGTAGTACTGTTTTGATATTGTCAAGAAGGTAGTGAAGCAATATTGATACCATATGGTAGATTTCTCATTTCAGACTTGCATACCTAGGTCTTCAGACACCATAGTAGGACCGTGAGGCTCTTGAAGGTTTTGTTTAGTTTTGCACTGAACACAGAAAATAAATTCAGCAAATACTGCATTTAATTTAAGACTCTGTCATGTGGAAAGTAACCAGCTCAAGCAAATTTTTCAGATTCCTAACACCCATCATTTGGTATAGAAATTTTAGCTTTTACTTGGGCCATAGAGGATACCAAGGGTCTTCATTACTGATTTAAAAGGTCACAGCGATACATGCTTTTTTATCTTCCCTTTTATTGCCAAGCATTAAATCATAATTTAAACAATTCTCTCCCACCCTGAACTCTAGGCTGTCCGTAGAGTTCCTGCCTGGGCCTCTTCTCACTCCATGAATCTGCCTGAGTGATTTCATGCGCTCATGTTACTGTTTTCTCTCTATGTGCGAATAATTGCCATGTCTGCATCTCCAACTGAGAACTATCCTCTGAGCACAAACCTGTCTAACTATCTCTTTGACTCCTCATTAGGACGTCCCACGAGTATCTCAAACTTAATGTGTCCCAGATCAAACCTGTTGAGTTTCTGTGTTAACTTTGATGACTTTTTCCTGACTTCTCTACACATCCAAGTCCAGCTGGTTCTGTTTTAATATCCATATGTCTGAACCAGTAGATTTCAACTAGGGACAATTTTACTCTGTAAGAGACATCTGGGAATGTGCAGATATGTATTTGGTTATCACAACTGGGGGAGAATAGTGGACAGAGACCGAGAAAGCTTTACTAAATTGTGGTGCACAGCCCCCCACAACAGAGAAATATTAGTAGTGCTAAGGTTGGGAAATCCTGTTCTAAAGAGGTCCCTCTCCTCCATCCTCCTTTCCCAATTGTACTGCATTATGTTACTCTCTGAACGCTTCTAGTCACAGTGATCTCTTAATTTACTATCTTAATACCCCATCCATATCCTTCTTCAAAATGTAGCCCAAGTACTCTTTCCCCCAAAGTAGATGACTTCTTAAACTTGGCTCTCTGTTACCTATATGAAGCAGTCTAGCTGCCTATTATATTGTGTGTGAGGCCCTCAGTGACCTGACACCTGCCTACCTCTCTAGTTGCCATTCACTCCTCCTTCTATAATCCACTCCAGTGATTTAGTCATTCTGAACAGCTTTCCCTAAATGTTCACTATGCTCTATGCTCTGTTACCCTCATTACTCTTCCTACCTGGAATACTTTCCATGCCCTGTCCTGCTAACTACTGTTCTCCTCTAAGGCTCAGGTCAGGTATACATTCTTTCCGCCTTCTCTGATGATCCCGTATGGGTTCCTTGTTCCTTGTAAGCCATCTAACACATGCCATAGATGTTACCATATTTATGATGCCTGTAATCACAGTACTTATAATAGTCATCCATTTGCATATTTTTCCCTTCATTGTGCTATGAAATCATTGAGGACAGGAACTATATCACTTTGTTATTGTAATCCATAGTAGTGGCCAGGTGTGGT